CAGCATAGTATTCCATTGTGTAGATGTACCACAGTTTTTTAATCCACTCATCTGCTGATGGGCACTTAGGCTGTTTCCAAATCTTAGCTATGGTAAATTGTGCTACTATGAACATATGGGTACATATATCCTTTCTGATTGGTATTTCTAGTTTTTGGAATATATTCCTAGAAGTGGAATCACTAGGTCAAATGGGAGTTCCATTTTTAGTTTTTTGAGGAAACTCTATACTCTAAACTCTGTTCTTCACCGTGGCTGCACCAGTCTGCATGCCCACTAGCAGTGCAGGAGGGTTTCTTTTTCTCCCCATCCTCGTCAGCGCTTGTCGTTTGTTGATATGTTTATGCTAGCCATTCTGACAGGTATGAGGTGGTATCTCATTGTTGTTTTGATTTGCATCTCTTGGATGATTAGTGACTTTGAGCATGTTTTCATGTGTTTCTTGGCCTTCTATATGTCCTCTCTATTTAGGTCCATTGCCCATTTTTTGATTGGGTTGTTTATCTTCCTTTTGTTAAGTTGTATGAGTTCCCTGTAAATGTTGGAGATTAAACCCTTATCAGATATAACATTGGCAATTATGTTCTCCCATGCAGTGGGCTTTCTTGTTGTTTTGTTGATGGTTTCTTTTGCTGTGCAGAAGCCTTTTATTTTGATGTAGTCCCATGTGTTTATTTTCTCTTTAGTTTCCATTGCCCTAGGAGCTGTATCAGTGAAGATATTACTTCAGCATCTGTCTGAGATTTTGCTGCCTGTGGATTCCTGTAATATTTTTATGGTTTCCCATCTTATGTTTAAGTCCTTTATCCATTTTGAGTTTATTTTTGTGTATGGTGTAAGTTGGTGGTCTAGTTTCATTTCTTTACATGTATCTGTCCAATATTCCCAACACCATTTATTGAAGAGACTGTCTTGACTCCATTGTATGACTCCATACATAACTTTTGAGGAAAAAATCAGTATATTAAAAATTCCCAGTTGAAGTTCTAACCGTATGTAAACCTACTTTTTTGGTAAAGTATTTAAATGTCTACCAGAATAAATACAAAACGAGAAGCTGTGAAATCTACATACACCCACCAAAGGCACTCAATTTAGTGCCTCCTTTGTCCTGCCTGTGTAGTGTCTAGCAGGGGTGGGCAAACTTTTTGACTCGAGGGCCACAATGTGTTCTTAAACTGGACCGGAGGGCCGGAACAAAAGCATGGATTTAGTGTTTGTGTGAACTAATATAAATTCAAAGTAAACATCATTACATAAAAGGGTACGGTCTTTTTTTTTTTTAGTTTTATTCATTTCAAACGGGCCGTAGTTTGCCCACGGCTGGTCTACAGCCTTGGTCTTTGATATGAGTCTCTTTGAATTCAGTGGATATCAGTTTTATGATCATTCCACCATTAAGTCATAGATCCAATGTGATATTTTAAAAGTTACACTATCATTCAAGATTTAATTCTGTATGTCTGATTGAATATATTTCCTCTGCTAGATACTATATTTTGGTTGATATGGAGATGAATGAGACAGAGGCCCCACTAGAAAAACTCACCAAAAAAATATAAATACAATATCGTATAACATACATTGTCATGTAGGAATAAGTATCTCAGTACATGAGCTGAGAAAATGATTTTTTTAAATTAAATCTTTATTGTCAGATTATTACAGTTGTTCCTCTTTTTTCCCCCTATAGCTCCCCTCCAGCAGGTTCCCACCCCACCCTCTGCCCTTACCCCCCACACTGTCCTCACCCATTGGTGTACAATTTTTGTCCAGTCTCTTCCC